TGCTCTAACTAGGCCTCGTTAGACCTTCGAAGAGCCCATAGGGGTCGTCGCTTCATATGTCGCCTAAGAACTCAGGAGACGCATCCTTGTGGCGACTACTGCGCTCTAAATAGCCTAACCATTCCTGACCGGTACCTTATACTTCACAATTAGAATAACAATGCAAGCCTACGTGGCACCTACGTGTTCTCCAAAATTGATCGACGACATATTAGTAGTTCGTGCAACTGAGGAAGCTCATCAAAAGCACCACAATATCCTCTTCGAACGACCCGCAGCCAAACAGTATTACCATTAGTCCGGATAACTTTGTTTTCCAGCAGGCCGCTGTAGACTCTTGGCCATCACATTGATCAATATGGCATACGGCCATTAGACGACAAGGCTCAAGCTATCCGTGATTTTCCTTTTATGAACACGGTAGCTGCCATTCGCTGTTTCAACGGGATGATCGATTAGTACCGACGGTTTTCGCCTCATTGCGCAGATCTACTTTGCCCACTGACCGACCTACTCCATGGTCGCAGAAACGGCAATGTGAGACTCATCTTAACCGCTATCTAAGCTTTTAACGCTAGTAAACAGGACCTAACTTCCTCAGTCACACTTCATCCTTTTGACGCTAAAGAACCGCTTAGGATAGCTGTCGACGCATCGGACTTCGCCATCGGTGCCGTCCTACAACAATACACTGAAGAATGCTGGATGCCAATTTGCTTCTATTCGGGACGTCTACAGCCGGTGGAACTCAGGTACTGTGCGTTCAGCCGAGAACTGTCAGCTTTTGCTGACCATCTGTCAATTCCAACATGTCCTCTATATTAATCACTTTCTCATCTTTACTGCCAACAAACCACTAACTTTCGCTTTTAAAAACCTGTCAGCTCGACATTCACCGCGTGAGGTTCGTCAGCTGGATTTCATCGCCCAATTTTCTACCGATATTTGACACATTTCTGATCAACGGAATGTCGTCACTGATGCTCTGTCTAGAGTATCTGCACACAATCGACTTGTCTGCCATGGCCTCCGCGCAGTCAGTCGATCAGAGTCCTTCAGAACTTCGCGATTCTTCACTAAAGATATCTCAAGATCCCGTGCCGTCATCTGGTGGCACGATTTTGTGCCTCAATTCGACTGGACTGCGGCGATCGGCGCTCGTCCACACACTCGACGCACGATCATATTTCCGTAGCTGGATAGCTCCTGGTAGCTTTTTTAGCATTAGCTAGCTTTCCTCCTTTTCAATAAACCTTCACAGCTTAATTTTTTGTGTTCTGCCGACCACCTTGGACTTGCCATTTGGCCTCGTACCAGATATGTAGCGCACGACCCACGCGCTATAAGTGCGTCAGCTTTGCATCTGTGCTTACTTTAATGGTCTGCGAGAGTCCTCATACATTTTTAGTCTGGTCGAGGTTACTAGTTTAATCTCTTGTATTTCTAGTTGACGGAGGAGTATGCGATGTCTTCCCATTATGGCGGCTTAACTCAAAGACCCGTGCGCTGACCATCGCGACGAGACTGGACCTTAGCGTGGTGCGATGGTTTGCTTGCCGCCGTGACTGTTTGACCTAAGCTGGGTGGCACTTTTCAAGTGATTTCAGAGCCACTCATACCGGATAGGTCACTGCTTAGGGGTCAGACTAACTCAGTCTCACAATCCAACCTAACCATGGGGGACAACAGGTCCACGGGTTCTAAGCTCACAGTTTGATTAGCGTAGAGCACGAACGCCACGCATTTATCTGGCGGTGAAGGTGCACCTTCCGGTGAAGGTAGCACTAACTCACTTTTACTTCTATTAGTATTGATGTGTGGTGTGTCTCCGAATCACACCTACCAGATAACAGCGTTGTGACGTATCTTTAACTTCCTCGTTCCGAATCTGACGACGATGGCTGCACCCTTCGCATTTCTGGCGATAATGAATAAATGCCTCAAGGTATTTACGGTGTTGATGTTGCCCTCAACAAACATGCTGTAGGCAATCTGCTCGACTAAACACTGGTGAACAGCCCCAGGTGTGGTTCGAAATCGAACCCTTTTCATCGCTTCAGTTTATGCCCCTGCTAAATGCAGTTCAAACGGTATCCAAGCCGATTTCTATCAGCAGCTTTCATCTGTTCTTCGCATGGCGAAGAATATTGACATCGTGAATGTTGCTTGTGACATGAATGCCCAATTGGTTCGTCTTACAGACTATAGACAATGCCTGGGCGGTCCCTTAGGAGTCGATGCACAGTGATGATCGATTTCTGTAACTGTGTGCCGACCACAACCTTTACTTTAGCAGCACTGCTTTTCAACACAAACGTTCACACTGCGTCACCTGTCTCCCACCGAATTCCTTAGTGATCTGGACCCAAATTGGCCATATTTCCGTCAGCTACAGATGGCGTACATCACTCCAAGCCTGTCGGCCAATATAGAACACGTGACTGTATTCCGATCATGCTCTAGTGCGCGCACGCTTGGCGCTCACTTCCCGCTTCAAAGAAGCGCCTGTATTCTAGCATTGCCTGTAACTTGAACTCAGACGGCAGTTTAACGATAACAGGACGAACTGGCACACCAAATGTCAGTGATGAGTGAAGTTGGTGAACCGAACACTGATTTGGATCCTCTCAAGTGTGCCATAAAGAATGCCTTTGATGCTTGCTATGCACCTGACTTGAGACATCGTAACTCTGTATGGATCTCTGAGGCATCAATCAGTTAGATCGAGGCGCGGAAACAGGTTCAAATTGGCACTGAATTCCAGCGTGTCCCCGTAATGCTCGCAACGACGTCTGGCAAGAAGTTCTCGAATTAGCCTGGAACGTTCTTGGATGGCAAGAGCTCGTGAGATGGGGAAAGCCAGTGCTATTGGGAACACTCGAGTGCTTTTGCCGAATGGCCTGAGCCGACGTGGTACCTAGATCTTACACCCACTTTGGAAGGCATACTATATGAGCTTTCCGTATTGAAACAAAACAAGGCTCCTGGACCCGACGACCTTCCTAAATCTTTGCTGATAGATGGTGGTATTGACCGTACTCGCTTTTCTATTTAACACGATTTGGAACACTAAAGAGATTCCTTCAGACTGGCGACTGTCAATTGACATGCCCATCTTCCAGAAGCTTCAGCGCACTTTATGCGGAAATCATCGAGGCATTGGCCTGGTTTCCTTTGCATCCAAACTGTTCACAGATATAATTATCCGGCGACTCACTGGTCCCCGTTAGAACCGGATCACTTGAAATCAGGCTGGCTTCCGCCGTGGTCGTGGTTGTATCAATCACATATTTACTGTTCGCCAAATTTTAGAGCAGTGAGACATATATACGACTGACAATGGGGGTTTTCCTTTACTTGAATGCTGCCTTCGACTCAATTGACCGCGCCAACTTCTGGTAGTCTATCCTTGAAGGGCGTGCCGGCTAAATTCTTTTACATTATGCAGTCTCTCTACCGTGACACCGAGGCTGGGTAAGGGCCTATGTCAAACTATCTCCTGAGGTCCCCACGACCAGTGGCGTTCACTAGGTTTGTCCTGTAGCTCTGTTCCTCTTCAACTTTTTAATCGAAATGATCATGATTAACTCGGTTCTTTCAGACTATTCTGGAGTGGGAGTTCTGCCAGGTGACCGACTGAGCAACCTGAAGTATGCGGACGACATAGTTATCCTTGGGTCTGCTGCACTTGCTATGCAAACACTACTGCACAGACTTGTGCGTAGTACTGCACGCTTCGGCATGTGCTTTGCACCTTCAAAGTGCGAAATACTGTTGCAGGACTGAACCGACACCCCTCCGCTTTTAACTATTTCCGAACAGTTACTGGAAGTGGTAGATTGGTTCACTTACCTTGTGTTATGTAGTCTCCCCACTTATTGTTCATTTCATTTCAGTCTTCTTGTCTCGCTTGTTTGCTGAATACAGCCTAATCTCTCGGGCGCATACTCTTCTCACTCGTATTTCTCATTCATTTTTACATTACACCTTGGTAGCCGTTACCTCTGGTGGTGAGATCACTGGGGAAGTTACTTTGCGTGTCAGCAAAGCTTTTGTGGCTTTCCAGAGACGACCGTCTATGGAGACAGCAGGAAATGAGCCGATCAAGTGCGGTCTATAACGTTGCGGTAAGGCCGGTCTTACTGTGCGCATCACCAACCTAACCAGTTCGCGACGAAGACAGTAATCGCTTGGTTGTGTTTGGCCACCGGTACTTTCTGAGTATTGCTCACGTCTGGTGGGAACACTGAGTGCACAATGCTGTGGTCCACCAGTTGCTTTTTGGCAAGAAATCTGGTGCCCCATTCGAATGTTTGCTGAATCTTAATTGCTTTCGTGGACAAGGCCACATCTTCCGTATGCCACTTTGACCGGCTTCTTAGGCGTACATTATACGCCGTGTCTGCACTAACTTGGGCGAAACCGCGAGGTTGCCAGTCCATGACGTGGTATACAGGCTTGAATGAATTGACTGAGAGGCTTGGTCGGGCTGGTGCTTGTCGTCTTTGTGGTTGATGGCCTCGGGATGGTCCGCACCAATGGTTGTAGACTGTATCAGACATGACGCAATCGCGTAGTCAGTGGTTTCTTGCATCTGGTTGTTGATTTTTGCTCCATTCTGGTTCGTCTAATCCACTTCCTACTTGCTTCCATCTTTGACATTCTATTTGCCTTAAACCCTACTTTCTTGCCGTTGTTACTCACTTATTCTTACGATGTTAATCGTGGCCACTAGGTCCACCGCACTTTGGCGCTCGGATCGTAGTTGTTCTCACCGAATTTTGCTACTGAACTCTTTTCCATTGGCTGCTCTTTGAATGATGCTCGTTTTTGCTTTAATCGTGCAATTTTTCATATATTGCAAACTTCGTGTCATGTCCTCAGATATGTTTGTTAGTAGGTTTGCACTAATGAGCTCGTCGATATTATCGCATATTTTTGGCACAGATACGATTAACAGTTTGTTCGCTTTTAATCTCATTTGAATTTTTGTCTCTTCAGCTTGTCATCTTAATGAAAAGTGTTAGCGAAATATCGTCCACTGATAAGTATCCAAGTATCTGTCGTTCATCGTGTTTTATCTTAGGTCCACATGTCAAGCGTACCAATACTACTTCGGGTGATTTTCATGGTATAAACGGTTCCGAGATTGCTATAACAAAGGAAAATAGCATTTCCTCCAATTCGCCCCTACAGCTTGCCGAGCAGTCTCTGTCGGATGCTTTGATGCCAGGTCTATCGAACACGTAGCTTTGTATCCACTACATTTTCCTAACCACTTTCAGTCCGGTGATCACCTTCCAAAAACCTAGTCGTGCTACTCGAAAACGCGAGAAACGTGCAGAGCTGCGCCGCGCACAAGAGGCAGCCGTATCTAAAGCTGCTGCTGCCGATACTAACAGTTCCAGATATATGGAACTAAGAAAAATACAAGTCCAACTGTCTGAACGGAACTTGTGTCTTTACGAAGTGAGTGGTTGTCTTTTTCTACTCTGTCTGTTTGCGTTAACTGCTTGACGTCTCACCTTTTAAGATGTTTGTTAGGTTATAACTAAATAACTAAATGGTATATTGCTCGATAGTGCGTGACAGACCGACTGTGTTCCGATCATTCTGCACAACACAATTGAATAGTGGAGAAAGTTGTTCGAGTTTTTCGTAGTAGTTCCCAATGGAGTCCTTGGATTATTCCTTCTTCATCATCAATACACGATAACTATGGTGGTGAAACACACCTCAGCTAATGTACTGCAATACAAAAGATAAAAAACTATAATAAACAAGCAATTTAATTCTGACCATCATATTATGCATTGGGGGTATTCTATTAGTTAAAAGTAACAATAGGACGGCATAGTTGAGTTGGAATAAATGTACACATAGTGAGCAGTTCGAATAAGGTATTACTTTATTTACTGTAATGCTTGTTCTGACACGATCCTCCGTGGAACCGTCTATTGATGACCTGTTTCCATGCACTGTACTTCTCTAAAGGTTTCAACTTCAGTTCAACGCCTCATCTGGCCGTAGGCTCGTGTTACTTAAAGGCAAACAAGGCGTCATCATGTTGACTCATTATTAGGGCTGATGTTATAAGCAAACAGGCCGTCACCACCTTTCCTTTTTAAGACTACAGTTATGTGTTTGTACTCCCGTCCTACTGTTCACTCCACCTTTCAGCTCTCTCGGGTTTTGCACTTTAAATATTCGCCAGCGATCACTTGGCAATTCGCCTTGCATGGGTGTACTAGTTAGATTAGTAGTTTTGATCTGTAATTTCAAGAGATCGGCCCAGTCGTGGCCAACAATAGAAGGAGAATGAGATATGGAAATTGGATAAAATAACATTAACTGTATATAAACGATTTTTGTCCGACGGTTGTCCGATTTAAATTGCACATAAGGATCTGGAAAAAATAAAATAAAGTATAATCTACCGAAGTATTCATACAAAAGAGGTCACAAAAGCTTATTGCGCCCCGTTTCGCCACCACACGAATAACTACATCCGCAGCTGCGGATGATTCGTAAAAAACTGTACTACGACCTGAACTGAACTGACATTAGGAGAGAAAATGTGAGTTCAACCGAAACCTGGTACCCATGAGCGATGGACGAAGTTTTTAAATTCGGCCGTTGGCGTTCTCCTTAGTACACCTTTTTCACTGTGGGTTGTAGATTTAGGGTTTTTCTATGAACCATTTAAACATTTTTGAACTGTCGTTAAGGCCACTAATCTTGTTTTTCTGTTTCCATCTTTTAAAAGCATTACGGGATATTGCCCGAACTCCGCACTTCATCGCATATGGTCACAAAGTCAGGATCACCGTTAAAAGCACTACGAATAAGCATTAGGTAAACAAGCAAATGCTTTGTGATGGTTGGCAATATGGTCTCAGTCGTTGATCTATCGATAAAGCGCACCTCCTACTAATACTTCCCAGTAATGTACACTCGCTTCTCGATAAAATCGTCTATCTCCTGCCTTTATGCAGCGATGAATGTGTTCGTGGATTTATCATTTTGTTACGGGTTTTGGTTGCACGCTGATGTAGAAAATAGTTATTTAACTCGATGGGTATATTCCCACCCAATCTGACTTCCCTGGAAACCCATGGTTTGGTGGGTGAGTTATCACTTACGTTAACCAACCTTGATGCATTTCAACAACCATACTACATACTTTACGGCCTCTATAAGCTGCCATTTTTGTGTAGATTTCAATCGATCATCGCCGGAAACGTTTACACCTGCATCCGCATTAAGCTTTTGTGAGGGCTACATTGTTCTATCTACTTGGTTGCTGGCAAATGCAACATACCCGAGGACACTTGACTTAGTAGATTTAGTGACATGACGACATGTAGCTAGCTGCTGTTTACACAAACGGTGCAGTGATTTTCCATACAAAGTGGCTCTCTTAAGCAGCTCAGGCCATTGCGTCATAACTGTCCTATCGCATGCAGTAGAGTCAATTTTATCACACTGACTAGACGTACTTTCAAGACTGTCAAACAGCGAAACTCCTCCGTTGAAAATATCAAGGCTCCGGTCGATGTCTTCCTTAACCCATTTTCAATCTGCAATGTAGTGGACCTGTTGGTTCTGTGCGACCATCTTACAGACTATATTAACTGTTGCATTGATGTCTGTTGTCTTGTAACGGCTTAATAACATTTTTAATGATCCATATGCATGGCCCAAGCTCGGGGCTTACAGCAAGTTGCCAAAGTAGGACAATGCCCCAAAAGAATACGGAGACAGTAGTCCGTAATAAAGAAATCCATAAACTGGGCGTAGCCGCATGCCAAGTTGGTCATTCTGTTTGTGCGCTGTTTGTAGGCTATAGGGGGGATGTTCCGCGCATATACCTGTCATACACGCTGTCCCGCGAATAGTGGAGATCCGAAATGTCGAACCGTAAGTGACTCAGGGACTTGAGGTGCCTCGCCGTGGTAAGACAACTAAAACTGCAACTGTTCAGAATCAGCATTGTGGATAAGGCTCGACGCATCCGAAACTATTGACTGCACTTATGTAGGAATCACCTCTGCATATGGACTGATACTGTATTTGCATGGTTTCAGTTTGCAAGTTCGTTCCATGCGACCTGCGTCACAGATAGCAACGTCCATAACCTATGCGGTGGTCTCCTTGACAGCAAGCGGGTCGGGTTTGATAAAGGAGCTCATAGTGACTATTCTTTTCTGGGCATTTCATTATCAACAGTCTGGGGTGACCTCAATAGATGCTTTTGCAGCCATAGAAACAATTTATACTGCACATTGTCAAACCTCTGAACCACCCGGAAATGTTGGGACGCCCTCGCTTGGATGCAGCGCTCTTCATCGGAACAACGATTCGGCTCTTGCAGCTTGTGTCTTGTGAGGACAAATGACTGATAATTGTCAACTGATAACATTCTCATCGATAACGCGTCGCGAAACTGTACTACGGCAACATGATAGGCAAAATTAGAGGATGGGAAAGTGAGTATCCGGCGCGAAGTTTTGTGGTACCAGGAGGTCTGCACAACAGGAAAATAGGATACTCATACAAAAACAGTATTCCAATCGCGGATCATAATGGTTACCTCCTCTTCACATGATTGCCAATATTTTTACCTGGTAGATGTACAAAGGTGAAAAGCATTGAAATAAAGCGTGCAAATTGAAGGGCGAGGTCGAGGTGGAAAACATTTTGCATCATGGAACTCGGTTGAAGTTTTGAAAACAACCACCTAATACTACAGCTACACCTGGGTTTGAACAGCAACTGGTTGTCATCAACCAAAGGAAGACAACGGAAAGTTGTACACATCGGCAACACGTACAGATCTCTTGATATTAACCAACCAACTGAAGATAAATAACGAGCGACGACTAAAGGTTTTGAAAGACTAGCTTGTCAGTTCGTTGGGTGCACCATCAATTCGGTATCAAAGTAAGCAACTACTCCCTCGTGATTTCAGATTGCTGGCAATACATTCTTTCAGTAAGATCTTTGCACTGTATAATCATCTCCAGAGCATTGGAGAAGACAGTTCCTTCTATTCTTTATTAAACGCATGTACCTATGACCGTTTGGCCCAGTCTCTAAACTTATCTGGAAGCAGTGCTGTAAGTGTTTGCAATTTCACATATCTATCCTAGCACGTTTTCTTTTGTGTTATCCAGATTCCTCCCGACGGAGACTGCTTGTATTCATCGATAGCCCACCAATTGCTGCAACGCCACACGTCTGTTGAAAATTTGAAGCAGATTTCAGACACCGGTGATGATCGAATGGAACTCCCCTTCCAGCTTAATACGCATTCTCCAGATTCATTGTCTTTGTTCTTACGTTTGATGGCTGCTCGCCATATTCGTGCGAATAAGGACCACTTCTTGCCTTTTCTCTTCAATCCACAGACAGGGGAGCCTATGACCGATGGTAAGCACTTTGGTTGTCAATGTTTTCTGCTACTGTACTAGACAATTAACTGGTGAAAATCAATGAAATAATCCACAAGTACGCGAATGAACCATTGCTTATAAACGCAGCGATTGATTAGTTGCTTCATGATGTTTTGGTAGTGTATATAGATTGTGTTTTTACTATTATAGTTCATAGGTATGCCACCGGTCTCTTTAGCTCATCGCAATTAAATTACACGGCAGGTAGGTCAACTACCAATCCGAAAGGGCGCTGGACGGCCGTTTCGTCCTCTTTAGACTCGTCGATGGTACGCCTTTCCTCGGCCCATTTCAGGGAACCGAACATGTTACTCTTAGTGGCTTGCAACGCTAGTCAGCAACCTATATGCTGAGCCATTGGAGTCGATATATGTGTGTCATAAGTTACCTAACCGCAATATAGCCCGACCCATCCTCTACTGCTATGCAGGTTACTGCCCATGTAGAGGATAGGGAAGCGGCATGCTGGGAAACCAAAGTTACGTTACCAGGACATGATTAAAGTGAGCCTCACACGTTCTAATCTTGATTGCAGATCATGGGAATCGAAGGCGGTTGATCGTGGTGCATGGCGCGATCTAATCACGAAGGCAGCTGCTGAGGTGCGGGAGAAAGCCCTCATGCATGCAGAGAAGAAGCGGCAAGTGCGGAAGCGGCAAGCACCGATGAATTGTACTCCATCGACATCGAGCGCATTGTGTTGTAGAACATGCGGTCGCGAGTGCCTTAGTCAGGCAGGCCTAGTGAGCCATGAGAGAGGTCACTCGGGACCACTGCCGAAGCGACGACGGGTCCCGCAGTGAACGTAGGCAGCACCGGCGCAGCGTTTGTAGGCACGCTGAATTCGATTTACTAACCGCATGCTTGCATGCTAAGTCTATTTATTTCAGGTGGTGGGTTTTCGGTTCTCTCCTAATGCCTTTCTTTCTCATATAAATGTCTAGTGGGCCATGAGCTAGGTCCTTTGGGGCCACTACAGAAGCGACGATGGGTCCTGCAGAGAATTACGACGAGCCGGCGCAGCGTTTGTAGGCACGCTGATTTCGATTTACTAACCGCGTGCTTGCATGCTAAGTCTCTTTATTTCAGGTGGTGGGTTTACAGTTTTTACCTTAATGCTTTTCTTTCTTATATAAATATCTCCATGTACTCTATTCCATTAACTTGCACATACGCTTTAGCCAGTTGTATTCGATTTCCATAAGATTTTTGTGTTCGTGGCATACCGTGAACTATACTTCCTGACTTCGTACACTTAGCTGGGATGTGTTTGTAAACAACTTATTACGTATGCTATTTAATTAAGGTTTATGTCACCGTTTCCTTATGCATTAATCCAGTTTTTATCTTTTTCTTTCTCTCTCTCTCAAGTGATTGGCTGTTGTTTGATATCCTTGGTGTGGCTGCGCTTGATGTGCATGTTGACAAGGTGCCTACCTGTCTATTACCCACTACCTCGTCCATACTGGCTCCAGGAGACAGTTGGTCGTTGCTGGAGGGGACGGGGTGCACGGTCCTTGTGGCCGTGTTAGGCTCGAAGAGTGGTTCCATGCACTCAGTATGGAGCGGACTACGGTCCAGCCACCGCCTTGTGTGCGGTTGATTCCCCAAATACAGCGTGCTTGTGTTTGCCTGTGAAGGAGTGTGGGCCGGCTCCGTTGATGAAACGTGGTTCCCATCCACATGCCTCCCGGTCTAATTCCTTCGGGTTTACACTGGATATGGGGTGTGTGGTTGGAGCTGTGGGTGGTGCAGCGCAAGCCATCCATGGTCCCTGTGTAGGCGCAGGCGTCCTGTGGCTTGCCACAGTGACAGGCAAATCCGAAACCGGATGCCGCCAACCATGTGTGCCCCATGCTGAGGCTGATGTTGCATTCTTGATGCTTCTTCACTGCAGTTGGGCTAAACCAACTTACACTTAAACTAGGTCTTTTTCAGCTGGATATATTTCATTCCGCTTTATTTGGTTTGTTCTGCCTCCCTGAATAATGTTCTATTAACTGGCCACGTTGCTTACACTAATTGCGCTTATCTTCGGTAATTTTGTTGCGTTTGTAGCATTTTAAGTAACTTGTGGACATTTCTTACTTATCACGGATTTGTTGCTGACCAACTTACTCCATATGGTAATTTAGCGAAGAGTTATGCCACCGTATCTGTATGCATTATTGGATTTATTTTATTTCAGCTTGTCGTTTAAATTGAATGGCTGTTGTTTGATATCCCTGGTATGGTTGCGATTGATGTGTATGTTGACAAGGTGCCTACCTGTCTATTACCCACTACATCGTTCATACTGGCTCCAGGAGACAGTTGGTCGTTGCTGGAGGGGACGGGGTGCACGGTTCTTGTGGCCGTGCTAGGCTCAAAGAGCGGTTCCATGCACTCAGTGTGGAGCGGACTACGGTCCAGCCACCGCCTTGTGTGCGGTTGATTCCCCAAATACAGCGTGCTTGTGTTTGCCTGTGAAGGAGTGTGGGCCGGCTCCGTTGATGAAACGTGGTTCCCATCCGCATGCCTCCCGGTCTTATTCCTTCGGGTTTACACTGGATATGGGGTATGTGGTTGGAGCTGTGGGTGGTGCAGCGCAAGCCATCCATGGTCCCTGTGTAGGCGCAGGCGTCCTGTGGCTTGCCACAGTGACAGGCAAATCCGAAATCGGATGCCGCCAACCAGAGGATCTTGATTGGCCCACGGATGTCAGGACTTCCATACCAGTAGCCGTCAATCCACAAAGCTGCTGACTAGTGATGCGAACTGCGAACGGTCATATGTTCTGTTCCCGGAAGGGGACCGAGGGAGTGCACTCCACTAATGAGTCTCAAAAGGACGAAACGACGGTCTGGTGCTTTTCTGGATTGGTAGTTGGCCTTTGCTACTGGTAAGCGAATTCTCCACAACAATCTTCAAAATCAGCATTTGTGTGATGAATATTCTTTTCGCTAAATCCATTTAATCATCTGCGTTTACAACGTAAAATAATGACGCAAATAATCACGCCAAAACCTTGTTACGTCTGGATCTATGTCTATAGAAGAAACAACGCTTGTTGATTGGCTGGTTGTTCACTGAGCTCGGCAGGTTGACTGCAAACGTTTCGTCACCACTCGAGGTGACATCGTCAGTGCGAGTGTATTTAGCAGTGTGGCGCGTACGAGGCGTCGGTGAGTGTGAGTGATCGATCTCCTAGCCGCTACTCTGAGTTTGGATTGTTCGACGAGCACATGACCATAGAAATCGATCTCTGATTCTCACCTCGTAGTGTACGCGCGTGGGACTCTTCGCTTGTCGTCGTTTGATGCAGTAGTCTAGCGCTCTTTTCCTTTAGATTTCTTCTAGTAATTCGGTGATCTTTCATTCGTAATGCCGTATATATAGCATCTATTTCAACATGTCGGTTTATTGAACTGTCGGTAGAATACCATGCCTCCAAGAATTCTCTAGCTTGCCTCGAATTTCCACGGGCTAGGATCTTAACGTTCTCTAGATCGAAGTGGTGGCCTTCTTGGTCTTCATGTATGGAAACTAATGAATGCGGGTCGTGTCTCCGTATGGCCATTCTGTGTTCGTTGATCCGTGTTGATAGTTTCCTTCCAGTTTGTCCGATGTAGTGTTTGTCACACTCTTTGCAGTTAATTTTGTAGATGACATCATTCTGACTGCTTTGTTTAACTTTGTCCTTCGGTCTTGAAAGCAATCTTCGCAGAGTACCTGTTGGTTTGTGGGCTACCAAGATTCTATGTGGTCGTAGCAACCTTGACGTCAGTTCAGATACATTCTTGATGTAAGGAAGCGCCACTCGTTTATCAATGTTTTCCTGCTGTTGTTGCCGCACCCTCTTCTTTAGGCTTCTTTTGATGAAGTTTCTTGGATACCCGTTGTTTTGCAATACCCGGTATAGGTGGTTCTCTTCCTTCTTCCTCAATTCTGTCGTGCTGCAGTGTGTTTCGGCCCTATTGAAAAGGCTTTGAATGCAGCACGACAGAATTGAGGAAGAAGGAAGAGAACCACCTATACCGGGTATTGCAAAACAACGGGTATCCAAGAAACTTCATCAGAAGAAGCCTAAAGAAGAGGGTGCGGCAACAACAGCATGAAAACATTGATAAACGAGTGGCGCTTCCTTACATCAAGAATGTATCTGAACTGACGTCAAGGTTGCTACGACCACATAGAATCTTGGTAGCCCACAAACCAACAGGTACTCTGCGAAGATTGCTTTCAAGACCGAAGTACAAAGTTAAACAAGGCAGTCAGAATGATGTCATCTACAAAATTAACTGCAAAGAGTGTGACAAACACTACATCGGACAAACTGGAAGGAAACTATCAACACGGATCAACGAACACAGAATGGCCATACGGAGACACGACCCGCATTCATTAGTTTCCATACATGAAGACCAAGAAGGCCACCACTTCGATCTAGAGAACGTTAAGATCCTAGCCCGTGGAAATTCGAGGCAAGCTAGAGAATTCTTGGAGGCATGGTATTCTACCGACAGTTCAATAAACCGACATGTTGAAATAGATGCTATATATACGGCATTACGAATGAAAGATCACCGAATTACTAGAAGAAATCTAAAGGAAAAGAGCGCTAGACTACTGCATCAAACGACGACAAGCGAAGAGTCCCACGCGCGTACACTACGAGGTGAGAATCAGAGATCGATTTCTATGGTCATGTGCTCGTCGAACAATCCAAACTCAGAGTAGCGGCTAGGAGATCGATCACTCACACTCACCGACGCCTCGTACGCGCCACACTGCTAAATACACTCGCACTGACGATGTCACCTCGAGTGGTGACGAAACGTTTGCAGTCAACCTGCCGAGCTCAGCGAACAATCAGCCAATCAACTAAACAACCTGAGCTACCAACATTTGCTTCTATATCGCAAACAACGCTTGTGTCCAGTTCGTTAGTTAGACAGTACATAATTTGCAGTTAACCCCGTAGGTTGACCACTCAAG